TGGTTCTTAATTTCTTTTTATTAATTCACCATTTGTAAACTGATGTTTACTGTTCTTTTTTTTTTAAATATCAATAGCATTTGTATTAAAACTCATCGTACATGTACATCGGCCTCATTCAGGACGGCGACGAGTCTGCCTACAGACAGGAGGTTAAAGAGCTCACGCTCAACACGCTCAAAACTGTGGAGATGATTGTGGACTTCAGGAGAAACCCCCCTGCTTTCTCCCCACTCAACATCATGGACAGCACTGTGACTGCAGTGGAGTCATTCAGGTTCCTGGGCACCACAATCTCTCAGGACCTGAAGTGGGACATTCACATAGACTCCATTGTTAAAAAGGCCCAGCAGAGGCTGTACTTCCTTCGCTTCCTTCGCCTTCCTTCGTTCACTGACGAGCTGTGCAAAAAATCGCGCGAATATGAACGTGGTTTTGCGCAACTCGTCAGTGAACAACGGCTCTGTGTAGTTAATGCTGCTCAATGTGAAAGCCCGCAGGTGATGGAGATTTACCGCTGATTACAGAACCGGCTTTACTGACAAGATGCGCATTAAATATCGCATGCGATTTATCGTGCAGCCCTAACCTGCACATACAATTGTCAATTTATATATTGTTATTACTCATTTACGTGTTCTATTTTAAAAAAAATTTTTATTATTTTATTATCTGTGTTTTTGTTCTGTCACTGTCATTCTGTTGCGCTGCGGAAGCTTCTGTCATGAAAACAAATTCCTCGTATGTGAAAACATACCTGGCAATAAAGCTCATTCTGATTCTGATTTTGCCGTAATGATTGGCTGATTGGATTTTGGGATTCAAAATGAGTTCAGGATTACAAGTTCAACCACACATACACAGCTGTGTGTGGATTTCAGCATGTGTGAGATTTCACTTACTGTCAATGACGGCCTCTACTTCAGCTCTGTGACATTACTGTGACATCATTGCTCCAGAACCTGGGACAAAACACATGAGGAACAATAATTGTACACCATAAAAATCATTACTCCTCATTTAAAGGTGAAATGTGTTATTTTTTTTACAAGGGATCCATTGGTAGGTTAAAGTCCCCAGAAAAGGGATAAAATGGCTATATCTACCTTGAAAGCAAAAAAAAAAGATTTTTTAATAAATAATTACTATAACAACAAAAATAAAATATAATATATACATAATATAATTTAATACAATATAATAATTAATATTTAAAAGATATATTATTTTAAAAAGTTATGCTCATGGTTGCATGATAATTTATATTCTTTGTCAAACCGTATACATTTTTACTATTAAATTGTTAAGTATTAAATCACTCTATTCTGAAAACTATTCTGAAAGAAACGTTGCCAAATAAGTATTTATTTGCAACGCATTGATGAATGTGCTTTAAGTGCATAAAGTTTCTGTCCTGTCAAACTTTACTAGATATAACCTTATTCTTTAACATCATCTGCATTTAATTTCATTTAGCTGCAGGCGTGGAATCCCTCTCAAATTACAGATCATATGGAACTAACCGACTACATAAAACATTCGGAGAGAGACGGAGAGATAAAGGGAGACAGACCGACAGAGATAATGAAATTGGAGAGAGACAGACTGACTGAGATGAGCTTTACATGAAAGTCACATCATTCCGTATGGTCTCTCTCAACACTGACATTTATGGAAATTACCACCAGATGAGCAAAACAGCTGAAGGGAAAAAAATATTTCTGCTGCCTGGGAAACTCACTTCGAGCAATATTAATCAATGTGGAGGCTAAAAATTCTCATAGACATCCTAGAACAGGATTAGCACATGCTCAAGTATGAGTGACAGAGATCTGGGGTCTGATGTTTAAAGGTTCTAAAATGTAGTAAAAAATAAAACTGGCATACAAACATTGCTAAAAAAAGATGTTCATAAAAGGAAAAACTGACTACAAAATGACTACATTTATAAAAATATTCTTCCTTATGTTCATTTAGTGTGGAATTAGAAGTGTCTCTAAACTTGTTGTCCAACAAAAGAGAACATTATAACATGTTTTTACTCCACAACATCAGTCGAATGTTTTAAATAACTTCGTGTTGTGATCTGATGTGGCTTCTTATCACAAAATGAGGCATAAAATATATTCTATACTGTAATAAAGGCTATGTTGATTATGAATTGTATTTTAAATATACTTTATTATGAAAACACCCAAGATGGCTCAAAGAACACAGATAAACTATATATTGTCACAGTCGAGTGTTTATTGTCTTCATGTTTCATTTTACAAATATTGGCATCGGCCGATACGTTTTTCCTGTTTGGCCGATGTGTTCAAGACTTTTATTTTGATAGCGCCGAGAACGGCAGCGCTCACATTCTCCCTCTTCATTGTTTGCTGTCCCCATTTAACATTTCTGTCTATTGCTGAGTTCACACTGCGCGATTTTCAAAGTCATCGGATCACCATTGTTTTGCGGACAGGAGGAGAATTCAGCTTCACTGGAGATGCACAATTGACAAACTTTAAACTTGTGATTTCAAACTATGCTGTGCTTTATCCATTTGCCCACTGTCATATTAATGTCATTTTCACTGTGTGCTGCATGTAAAAAGAGTGTTGGCTTTATTTGACGATTGGAGATGGATTGAATATATATATATATATTAGGGATGTAACGATTAACCTCGAGCCAGTTGAAAATCGATTCAAATATGTGACGATTCAAATCGGTTGAGATGCTAAACAAATCGCGATTCATTTAGGGGTAAGAGTTTATATGAATGTATGTCTGAGGGGAACTTACTGTCTTTAGAAAAGTTTAGATGGTATTTTTTCTTTTCATCTTGCCTCTGTATAATGCATATTAAAGGGGTGGTTCACTGTTTTTTTTCTAGGCTTGATTGTGTTTATGGGGTGCAGTCTAACATGTGTTAATGCTTCGTTTTTTTAAAAACGCATTATTTTTCACATAATTTACCTTATTCCACACCGCTCTGTCCCTTCTCTGAGAAACGGGGTGATCTTTTCCTGTTTTTATGAAGCACCGCCCTCAGAAATAGGCGATGGGCTCTGATTGGTTAGCTTGCCCAGTGTGTTATGATTGGCTAAACCGCCTCTAGTACGCGTCTAATCGTCCCGCCCCTCACCTCAGCGGCATGTGCTCCGGTTGTATTGTAAACAACGGCGTCGTTAATATTGCTTATCAGTTTGAGCCCGATTGAGAAGCAGAGGATATTATTGAAGAGGATCGTGCAGAACCTGTGCAAGCACGGCTTTTAATGGTAGGCCTATGTTTTTTGTCTGTAGTTGTCTCATACTTTTAGATACGCTGTTGTAAATGCTACTGCTTATGTTAGCTTTTAATATACGGTTTT